CTCTCTCCTTCTCCCTCCCTCTCTCTCCCCCTCCCTCCTTCTCCCTCTCTCTCCTTCTCCCTCCCTCCCTCTCTCTCTCTCTCCTTCTCCCTCCCTCCCTCTCCTTCTCCCTCCCTCTCTCCTTCTCCCTCTCTCTCTCTCTCTCCTTCTCCCTCTCTCTCTCTCTCTCCTTCTCCCTCTCTCTCTCTCTCTCCTTCTCCCTCTCTCTCTCTCTCTCCTTCTCCCTCTCTCTCTCTCTCTCCTTCTCCCTCTCTCTCTCTCTCTCCTTCTCCCTCTCTCTCTCTCTCTCCTTCTCCCTCTCTCTCTCTCTCTCCTTCTCCCTCTCTCTCTCTCTCTCCTTCTCCCTCTCTCTCTCTCTCTCCTTCTCCCTCTCTCTCTCTCTCTCCTTCTCCCTCTCTCTCTCTCTCTCCTTCTCCCTCTCTCTCTCTCTCTCCTTCTCCCTCTCTCTCTCTCTCTCCTTCTCCCTCTCTCTCTCTCTCTCCTTCTCCCTCCCTCTCTCCCTCTCCCTCTCTCTCCTCCTCCCTCTCTCCCTCTCTCTCCTTCTCCCTCTCTCCCTCTCTCTCTCCTTCTCCCTTCCCTCTCTCTCTCCTTCTCCCTCCCTCTCTCTCCTTCTCTCTCTCCTTCTCCCTCTCTCCTTCTCCCTCTCTCTCTCTCCTCCCTCTCTCTCCTTCTCCCTCTCTCTCCTTCTCTCTCCCTCCCTCTCTCTCTCTCTCCCTCTCTCTCCTTCTCCCTCTCCTTCTCCCTCTCTCTCTCTCCTCCCTCTCTATATTATAATCTGTTGTTTAAACTAAAAAAATTATTATTAAACGAGGATAAAAGTAAAAAGGTTTTAAAATGTTACAACTATATAAAAGCCAGCCGCTCCGATACTCTCATTCATTCTCCTCATTCATTTCATGTTCTTTTGCCGCTAGCCCCGCAGTACATTGACGGCCTCTCGTTCCCTATTTTCCAGTTTCGGAATGACGCCAAATTATTTGGTCTTCGTAGAGCAACCGGTGAAGATCAATCTGCTCAAGTTCCTGTCGGCGTGGAGTATCTGGGGGGCCAATTATATGGACTGCTTCCAGTCCCATGAGACCATGGGGGTGAGTCTTAACACTGCAGCAGCTAGAACTCCTAGGAAAAAGAAAAGGATATTTCCTAAACTGGTCACATCTTCTGAACAAAGCCGGATGATGGTTTTCATTTTCCCTTAAAAAAATTGTCTTAGTTCTTTTGGACTATAGCCCGGGCCCCGCATACATGATTTCCCTTATTATTATTATTCAGGATTTATATAGCACCATCAGTGTGCGCAGCGCTTTACAATATATGGAAGACATTACAATCACAATACAATTCAAGGCAAGATGGTAAGGAGGGCCCTGCCCCTGAGGGCTTACAATCTAAAAGGGAGGGGCCAGTGATACACGAGGAGGGAGCTATGTGGGGATGAGTTGTATGAGAACGTGATGGTTCAGTGGTTAGGTTGAGGTGGGATAGGATTTCCTGAAGAGATGAGTCTTAATCAGCCATTGAGGAGGGAGTTGCAATAGTCAAGACGAGATATAACAAGTGAGTGGATGAGTAGCGTTGTTATTTAATTGGTGAGGAAGGGGTGTATTTTGGAGATGTTAGGAAGGTGAAGGCGGCAGGATTTGGATAGTGATTGGATGTGAGTCATTAAGACCTCTGAACCCCCGAAATGCGTTAGCTACTCTACTTGAATGTCCCCCTAATGGGATAAAGTCTTATGTCGACTTTTTAAAAGAAGAACTCTAGGCAACATTTTTATTACCCCTTGTAGCGATGCCACAAGGGGTAATTAGTACGCAGCCCCTGTCCTTCTCTATGGGACTACGCGGCCGTACATGTTAGCGATGTGCCAGCTGGACTTCCTCACCGGTTCTACAATGAGCTGAAATCCCTCCGCACATTGACGTCCACTCTTCTTCTTCTGTGTTATGTAGGTATGGATCCACGTAGCCGAGAAGCACACCGGAGAATATCTCAATATAAAATACAGGGCCGCAGCCTTCAATATCTTCCACCACATCAACACCTACGAAGACAACGGATTCCTAATAGTGGACGTGTGCTGCTGGAAGGGGTAGGGTGTGCTGTCTATGTTTCCAACCAGGATGAGGGACCAGATTCTTCCTATATATCTGTACAATACACACCCGGGGGTGACACCAGTACACAATCTTCATGTGGGATCAGTTTGTCATTTCGGTGCAGGGTATATATTGACACACATAACTGGAATCCAGTTAAAGTCGAGCTATCATCAGATCTTTTGTATCTAGATATATTTTTCATGTTAATTACATGCATACTAAGGAGCTAATTTATAAAGAGTTTGCATGGCCACTGGCCACTAGATGGAGCCACTGAGCATCGAAAATATCCATTATTTCCATTATGGCCACTAGATGGAGCTGAGGAGCATAGTCAATAAATACTTATTTCCATTATGGCCTCTTGGCCTGTCAGACAGGGCTGTGTTGTGGGGCAGAGCTGTGTAAATCTCATGAATGGATGAACAAAAATGCAAACCCTTTGGCAGGAAAAATAGCCCCTGTATACGTATTTCATTACTTTAGTTCACGGTTTGCATGGAGATCAGCTATAAGGCTCTTATGCACCTTTTGGTAATTTCCATAATTAAATTAGTCCATGACCTCCCAATCCCCAATTAGCCCCCAGGTGATAGTAATTATCAGTGTCATCCATTCTATAGCAGTTGACAGAAATGTCTGGGTTGTCTCCCTTTGCAGCTTCGAGTTCATCTACAACTATCTGTATCTGGCCAACTTGCGTGCAAACTGGGAAGAGGTTAAAAAGATGGCGGAGAAAGCGCCACAGCCAGAAGTGCGGCGATACGTCGTGCCTCTCGATATCCAGAAGGTAAAGTGTTCCAGGGAAGAGGCCATTTCAGGGGTAAAGCAGCATTTGGCCAATGAACTTCACTCGGAATCAGTGACATCACGAAGGGACAAAATGGCCGCTTCTGCACAAAGTGGCAGATCCACTTAAAGGGGTCAAATATAAAATACGTGCAAATATGGGACACCGGTGCTCCGAAATGACTGAAGAATACGTCTTTTATAGACACGTGTGCATGGCTTCACATAATGGCAAATGACATCCACATGCGTCAATAATAGACGCATTCTTCAGTCATTTTGGAGTGCCGGTGCTCCGTATTGGAAAGTTCTGTCACAGCGCCATCCACTGGTCACCCCCACACCCACCACTTACCACAAACAGGAGTGCGATGGGCTTATGGATTTTTGGATAAATACAAAATACAGCCACAAGTAAGGAAAATGAAATCTGAACTCCGGGCATAAAAGATTTCATATAAATATATTCCTCAATAGTGCACATCATCGATATAATCCACTCTGTGTGCACTAAATGCTTTGCAAACTCTGTAAAGTAGTAGTGACATCATCACTGGGCTGTACTTAACCTGTGCAGGGAGTAGAGCTGTGGGAGGGGCCCAGCAGGTTCCACCCACTACAGGCTGCCTGCAGAAAACTACAGGAGTGGGCAGAGACAAGACCAGTCACCCTGCGAAAGGAGAGAGAGCAGCAGTAACCGGTCTTTAATACAGGAGGGGTGGAGACCAGACCAGTCACCCTGCGAAAGGAGAGAGAGAGCAGCAGTAACCGGTCTTTATTACAGGAGGGGGCGGAGTCAAGACCAGTCACCCTGCACAAGGAGAGAGAGCAGCAGTGGGCGGTCTTTATTATAGGAGGGGGCGGAGTCAAGACTAGTCGTCCCTACACAAGGCAAGAGAGCAGCAGTGGGCGGTCTTTATTACAGGAAGTTCAAAGTTTTACACAAATCTGGAAGAAATACACGAAGCTCACACAGATTCAAGAAGAATACACATGACTCTTGTAGGAGGACAGTATTTGTTTATCTCAGAGTTCAGCTTCAGAGGTAATTACTAGTCTTTTTGAATTGTTTGGAAGAAGTGCAAATGCAGCTCACAAGCCCTCTATGTGATAGCACACTAATGGCGACAGGTTCTCTTTAAGGACACATTAGAGGTCTGTTAGATCGTTGAGCAGCATCTTCCCCGGCCACAGCAACCAAGGAATGACGGCTCAGAAACCGGAAATGACTAAATCCAAGTCGCTTCTGGGTTCATTCCACATTTGACAGCGCATCACGGAAACGATCTGGCGCCTGTAAAAAGTGTGCTCACGGGGCCCCACTGCTGCACCACACAGTGGCAGCAGCAAAAGGGCTCAATTTCATGCTCGGAATTCAGCTTTATGTCTATTTTCGGACTAAAAATGTAAATAAAATCGAATAAAAGTATAGCGTTATGATACAGACTTCTCCTTATGACATCTTTGCATTCTTTTTCGATGTGTAGAATGACGTAGGAAAGAATCTGGTTAGTTTGCCGTACACCACGGCCACAGCGACCCTGAGCAGTGATGAAACCATCTGGCTCGAGCCCGAGGTCCTCTTCTCGGGGCCACGTCAAGGTTTGTAGCTTCCGTAATCATTGTTCTAAAGTATGGTAACCATTTTCTTTGAAGGCAATCAGCTCTAGCCCTCATTCACACAGAAAACGGCCGGGACGCACAGCTCCATGCTGCGTGCGCGGCTGTACCAAGCAGCTCCTGGGAAGGACAGGTGCTGCGTGTGATTAGTACGCAGCCCCCGTCCGTCTCTATGGGACTACGCGGCCGTACGCCCCCCTACGCTCACCTCAATGTACAGGTCCGCAGGGGTGCGTGTTTCCTCGCTCGGACGCAGACAGGATCCATCCTGTCAGCGTACGAGTACGGTCACCCGCACCCCTACGGACGTGCAGGGCCGGTGAGCGTAGGGGGGCGTACGGCTGCGTAGTCCCATAGAGACGGACGGGGGCTGTGTACTAATCACACGCAGCACCTGTTCTTCCCAGGAGCTGCTTGGTACAGCCGCGCACGCAGCACGGAGCTGTATGTCCCGGCCGTTTCTAGTGTGAATGAGGGCTAAAGTGTATATACAGGCGCAACGTTTTTGGGGAATAAAGTGGGGAAGGGATAGACCATCTGACAAGTTCCGCTGGTGTCTCCATCGGGGGAATTTCCCCCCTTTATTTGTCCTGGTGGCCATTGTCACCAAGGCAGAAATGAAAGAATTCTCGTCACGAGAGTCGTCATGGGAGAGAGAGTGGAGAGCAAATCGTCCATAGGAAACAATTGGGGTCACCCCTATAACAAGGCAGCCTGAGGCGGGTGCCTCAGGCGTCATCTCATTGGGGGGCAGGGGGTGTGTGTGGAAGGGGGGGGGGCACAACCACAGCATCCCAGGTTCTTAGCAACCAATGATACCCTGTCTGGCGTCCTGATGACAACACACTCTTCCCCGGAACGGCCATTAGCTGATAATAGCACAAGCCCTCCATTCCATTGTCCCCCAGAATGATCGTTAACTGATAGCACACACACCTCTTCCAGCTCCCCCTCCCCTCCTCCTCTAATACCTCCACCTCACCCCCCTCCAATACTTCCACCCCCCCTCCTCCAATAAGACAGACCTGTCTGGTAGACATGCAGTGAGGATCAATAAGACTCTGTTGTTGTGCAGGAATACTGAGAAGGAAGTAGAGACTGCATATGTAATGAAGAAACATGGCAGCCCCCACTTATACATATAAAGTGGGAAACTATGCACAGACTTTCCTTTATTACTACAACCCCCCTCTGAAGCTATGATTATCTTTACAGCCTTTGAATTCCCACAGATCAATTATAAGAAGTACGGTGGAAAGGATTACTCATACGCCTACGGACTGGGTCTGAACAATTTTATTCCGGACAGGGTAAGAGCCGCTCATCCGCTTGCCCCCTGACGCTTAAGCCCGCCTCCGCGGAGCTCCGCTAACAGGATTTTATGTCGTTGCAGCTCACCAAACTGAATGTCAAAACCAAGGAAACTTGGGTATGGCAAGAGCCCAACACCTACCCCTCCGAGCCCTTATTTGTAGCCTCGCCGGACGCCACAGAAGAGGATGACGGTAAGTAAAACCAAAATCAAAACGCGTTACAAGAAATAAATGCGATCTATGGAGTAATGGAAATGAAGGGAGTACTCCAAATTATGCAAAAAACAAAAATGGATTGTTCTAAAATCCTCTTGTGATTGTACATTTTGTTGGTAGGCTGAATCTGGCTGCTCAGATACAGCACTGTTTATACAGTCATCAGTACATACGCAGGGTCATCATCACAGTGCTTTAGAGTGCATTCAGGCCCCGCCCCCGAGGAGTTGACAGCCTAACATTACAGGAGCGTGAGTAATAAAAATCTTCATTATTTTATCAAAACCACCAAAAGTCAAACATTCCCTTTAAAATGAGAAGTGAAATCTGAATGGTTGAATCTAATGAATGGTTCAGAGGGGACAAGAGAATTACTCGGGGACCCTTTTCATAGATGAGGAGTTCGGGAATAATAATGAATTCATTGTACTGGTTAAAAATAACAAAGGTTAAGCTGATTATTATTATACAGGCATATTAAAGGAGAACTATGGGGTTAAGGCTTTTCCCCATAGTTCTCCTTAGGGTAACGGGAGGACACAAACTAGCGTCCTCCCGTCACCCTAGGCTCAGTATACTGCGAGCTACAGCTCCCTGTATACTCAGACGCCGCAGCTGAAGCGGATCCCGACAATTGTGCCGGGATCCGCCCAGCTGCGTGACTGACAGCTTGCTCTGCCTATCTAGAGGCAGAGCCAGCTGTACCCGCCCCCTCCCCCGTCCGTTCCGCCAGTCAGCGCTGGCAGATCGGAGCGGGGAGGGGGGAATCCAGTCCCTCCCCTGTCACGGCAGAGAGCTGTGACAGGATCGAGAGGTGAGCGAACGCCGGTATGTGTTCGCTCACCTCCCGATCTACTGAGCCGACCTGTGACAGTCTCATTGTCACAGGTCGGCTAGAACTATGAGGGGAGTGAAAAGCACTCACCTCATAGTTCTCCTTTAACTCGTCAGACCTTATCTGTCATGTTACAATAATCCTCTTCCCAGTGAGCACAGCTCATGTGGCCCCGTGAAGAGGATTATCAGAACACAAAGGTTAAGATCTGAGCTTGTATGTTGCCTGCTATTGGCCAATTAGCGTCATCCTGTGTTACCCAGTACAAGTACCCACTAAAGCCTATGTAAACCCTTCACAATGAACGTCTTTTATTTGCTCTCTTCTGACTTGTTTAATACACCTTTGAAAGAATTTTTGTTAAAGCTGTTCAATAGGTGCAAAAATAATACCTCTTGATCCTGCCAGAAATCCAGTGAGCTGGTTACTTCTTGTGCTCTCGTCTCTGCTGACTGTTATCAGTTAGATTGTTCCCAGTCTTCAATGTGAACTACAGTACAGAACACTTCCACCATATGCAGGGGCGTTCCTTGGCCGGGTGTCACCAGGAGTGGGTACCGGGGTGACACCCCGCCCTGACATCAATGCGCATGCGCGGCCATCTAGGTGATACCTGCCAGTGGCCATCTTGGTGGGAGGGGACGTTCACCCGGCGTGATGAGGTATGCAGCCGAGTCTCCTCCTCGCTCCTGCAACCGTCGGGCTCTCGGTCCATGACCGAGTGCCCGACTTTTCAGAGAGGGTGACACTGAAATGAATGTCAGTCATTTTGTTGTCACCCCTCCAATGGTGTCACCCGGGTGCGGCCCGCACCCTCCTTAGTGACGCCACTGCCCATGTGTAATGAACATGATGAGAGGAGAAGTGTTCCGTAGTCTTGCCCAATGGTGACAATGCTGCTCCTCCAGAGACACAGTACAGTGAGGGAGCATTGTCACCCTAGGACAGGAAGTGTGTCACTGGCAGGATCACCAGGGGAAAATAATGCAGCCACCATATCCAAAGCCTGGTAAGCTACAATGTATTGAATTTTGGTTCATGGGTTAGTGTTATAACCTGGCTCAAGCCTAAGCTCCTCTGAACAAACAATTGCCAAGGGTACTTGCACCCAATCAGCTGCGGGTTGGCGTATTTCCCACCCTCAGCTGCATGTAAACAAAGGGGCAGGTTGCTTGTGCTGATGTCATTTACCGAATGTGATCACATAGCCATAGTAGGTGAATGTCATTTACCAAATATAGGCATGTAGCCATATAAAGGTTGATGATGTCACTGCATGCCGCCCCATTAATGACATCAAGCTGGAGGTAGGGGATTTCCACGCCAGCAGCTGATTGGGTGGCACAGAAGGAGCTTCCCTCCGTGTTCAGGGCCTGTTCACACGACGTCCGTTTTGTGTGCTGACCGGCTCCGTACGCTCCTGCACTCAAAATGCATCCCAATGTATCCCTGTGTGTTTTATGGGCTCCAGTTCTCACGTGCGCAGTCCGTTCAGCTTACGACAGAAAAAATACTGCATGTCACATTTTGTCAGGTCCGGAAATGCAAACGCGTCAAAAACGCATCAAAAACGCACTGCGCTGGAGCTAACATACTAACAGCCCCACTCCAGCAAAAAAATAATAATGCTGGAACGCATCAAAAACGCAGCCAAAAACGCAATGCATCAGCAGCTCCACGTCTGCTGATCAGGACCTGATCTCATGTGAACAGGCCCTAAGAAGGAGCTTCCCTCCGTGTTCAGAGGAGCTCAGGTTCAGACCGGGATCAGTCCGAAGCTGAGTTTATTTTCTAGTTTAGATAATTTTACATTTTTGTTTATATAACACCCTTAACTAAGGAGGGATATGGAGCTCAGCTGCGGAACCCCGTTCCGCGTCACACACACAGGACAAAGGGTGTTGTGCGGCAATGGTGTCTCGCCACTAGTTTCAATGCATCATTGCACCAATACCCCTGAAGTAGGTATCCTGCCTGTCCCTGGTAAGTAGTGTCTGTATGTCTGGTTAGTTCCCTCAATTACAAAACAAGTGAGTACTTAGGTACTAATTAACAGGACCAATGAGTATATTGTAACAGAGGTATGACTACAATCAATAGTCTGAGCTGATGCTATTGGAAGATCAATAACCAGGTGAGTTTACTGCACTGAACCTGGTAAGCAGATTGAGCAACAGTGCCCTATGCTCTGATACTTACCCCCGATATCGGAACTTCCAATCAGAGGAAGATTTCCCAATTAGGAAGCTAGGTGGTGGATAATGATCTGTCTCCCAAATACCTGATTGGCCGGGAAGCCGGCTTCCTGGCCAATCAGCATTGAGCCGGCTGTTAATAACTGTATGTTGACTTCACATTACAGTATGTGCACATATGTTTATAAGAGTTCTGAATGTAGAGGTAGTATCCAGTTTGTAAACTACATATACAAGGTTTGGGTATCAGGCAATCCAATAAAGTCCCCAGTCCCTGTTATCACAGTAAGCACAGTCACTGATCTGTCACTGATAGCAGGAACCAGGGGTTGTACTTGCGGTTGGTTGCTCTGGCTGGTGATCCTCCCACTCTGTCAGTGAGTGCCGGTGTGGATCAGGAGGCTGTAGTGCGGCTCCACGGAGCCTGTCCGAGGTGAGAGATGAGACAGCAGCTCTGTGTGGAGAGGTAGGGTAGGTTCTCCTACTACTGTGTGGAGGTGCCCAGTAGCTGTCTGGCGTCCGCATCGGTTGCTGGAACGCCAGACAAGTGAGAGATCTCGGCTTAAGCCGAGGAGGGGGGCGAAGCGGCGTGACGTCAGCGGCCCCGGGGCGGAACCCCCCATCGTGTCCGTGACGTCACTCGGGTGAGCCGCCAGGAGCTGTTACAGTTTAACATCTCTAATCAAATGTAATGATTTATATATTTTTTGCAGGTGTGTTGCTCAGCATCGCCGTTTGCCCAGCGGTGGGGCACAAGCCATCTTTCATGCTGATTTTGAACGCCAAAGACATGAGTGAAATCGCCAGAGCCGAAGTCGACACCGACATTCCCGTCACGTTTCACGGGATGTTCAAGGAAGCCTAAAACACTCTGCACCAAGCGGCCTATTTATTAAAAAAAAACAAATTCACCCAAACTTCACTCAGGATTAACACAATTTCCAACAAAATCCATTTAGAAACGTGTGAATCTGAGGTAAAAGTTGTGTGCATTGTGAGTGAAAACAAATAATAAACAGTCCGCTGAGTTGTAAAATATTTATTTCTATGGCAAAATACTGTACAGAGGTCAAATACAAGCGTTATGGTTGCACAGGTTCACTTTTTCAGGTTTCCAGCGTGGTATAGGGCAGGGAAAAGAAGAATATGATTGGTATGGTCAACATGAATGGAGCCTTTTGAATCTGTGTACAGCTCAGTGTATTATGACCCATTGCCGCCCTCAACATGTCATCTTGGGATGAGTTGTGGACAATCCCAGGGCGTACTCATGACAAGCAGGGGCAACATAGCATACTTATCCTGTGTCCAAGCTGAGTAGTCCAACACAGAACTAAAATGCGCCCGTGTCACAGATAATGTTATTTAGTTACATTTTTGATTTGTCGATAAAGTTATTGTATATATCACTCAATGAACTTTTATTGTCAATAAACTCACAAGTGTGTTTGTAATCGAGTCTTGTGGACTGGCACTGCCCCCTGCTGGTGGGATCATGCAATTCAGGAAATATTTTAAAACATTTAAAGGCGTTGTGGAGTTCCAGCGTATCCTCTCCTGTTATAACATCAGCATTGTAGGAATACATACTAGAGATGTTTCTGATAATGCAATCAAAGCTTACTTGAAGAGTTTCTGAGTGCTGGTGTCCCATGATTTCTACTAGGGATGCACCGATACCGAGTAAATGCTCTGATACTTACCCCCGATACCGCAACTTCCAGTCAGAGGGAGATTTCCCAATTAGGAAGCTAGGTGGTGGATAATGACCTGTCTCCCAAATGCCTGATTGGCCGGGAAGCAGGCTTCCTGGCCAATCAGCATTGAGCCGGCCAAACAGCATGGAACCTGCTTCCTGGCCAATCAGGCAGCGGGTAATGACCCGCCGGCTGGCTTCCTGATTGGCCAGGAAGCCGGCTCCATGCTGTTTCGCCGGCTCAATGCTGACTGGCCAGGAAGCCGGCTTCCTTGCCAATCAGCATGGAGAAGGCTTCCCGGCCAATTAGGAAGCCGGGAGGCCAATCAGCATGGAGCTGGTTTCCTGGCCAATCAGACAGCCAGGAAGCGGGTAATGACCCGCCGGCTGGCTTCCTGATTGGCCAGGAAGCCGGCTCCATGTTGTTTGGCCGGCTCAATACTGACTGGCCAGGAAGCCGGCTTCCTTGCCAATCAGCATGGAGCCGGCTTCCTGGCCAATCCGCATGGAGCCAGCTAGGAAGCCGGGAGACGGGTAATGACTCGCCACACGGCTTCCTGATTGGAAGGGAAGCCACCTCCATGCTCCCGGAAGTATTGGTATCGGCGAGTACTGAAAGATAAATATCGGTTCTCATACTTGATACCGAAAAACCAGTATCGGTGCTTCCCTTTTTTCTATCTAATGTCAAAAGAATGCTGCGTTAGCAGCCTAGAGCCCATCAAGACTGACCCTTAGAAGGTAGACACAACGGTACCCATACTTCCCATGGCAGGTTTATATTATAGAGGAATGCAGCCACTGAATTCCATGGGAAATCAGAACTTCTGATCTGCACACATGTTTCAATAAATAAAAGGAGAACTATGAGGTCAGTGCTTTTCACTCACCTCATAGTTCTAGCCGACCTGTGACAATGAGACTGTCACAGGTCGGCTCAGTAGATCGGGAGGTGAGCGAACACATACCGGCGTTCGCTTACTTCTCGATCCTGTCACAGCTCTCTGCCGTGACAGAGGGGGGGCTGGATTCCCCGCTCCGCCAGCGCTGACTAGCAGAACGGACGGGGGAGGGGGCGGGAACAGCTGGCTCTGCCTCTAGATAGGCAGAGCCAGCTGTCTGTCACGCAGCTGGGCGGATCCCGGCATAATTGTCGTGATCCGCTTCAGGTGCGGCGTCTCAGTATATAATGAGCTGTAGCTTGCAGTATGCTGAGCTTAGGGTGACGGGAGGACGCTAGTTTGTGTCCTCCCATTACCCTTAGGAGAACTATGGGGAAAAGCCTTAACGCAATAGTTCTCCTTTAATTAGAGACCAGAGATCAGCAAGACAGTCAACCAGTAAGACAGATTTCCCAGTATCAGTATCCATATGGACACAACTTGCTTCATTTGAAATATGGCTGCTATGGACATTGGCTTTTCTTTTTGGAGACTGATTCCTCCACTCCCTGCTAAACAACCCAAGAACCAATATGTCCCTGCTGATTACATGACAAACTATTTCATTCAGGTATAACAAAAGCTCAACAAAATCTGAATGGCCATGCTGCAATACCCAGTTTCAGCAGCCGTGACACTCCAGGTAAAGTGTGACAGCTCTGATCCCAGACAGACCACAGGCAGGAGTGACTAATGTTTAATTTAGAACAAAAGTCCTTTTTAAACCTGTATGTAAAAATGAACGAGAGGTATATTTCCATATTGCAGGTTAAGGTGTTTTTTTTGTGGCATCTATAAAATCAATACAATTTACATAAAATGTTGGCTGTTGGTTTAGAAAATACTTTTATATTTTATAATTACAATACTTTATATAAAATATGTACACAATTTAAAAAGACCTGATTTACAACAACAAAAAAGTGTATCACATTCTCAGCAATGGAGACGAATGGATGGCGGCCTTTTCATACTTCCTTTGATGGATAATTTGAAGGCACTTGCTGAGTACCTGACAAAATAAGAAAAAAAACAGAATGAAAGGGTAAACAAGTGTCATACATAAATATAATTACAGTCTGCTCAAATATGAGATAGTGTGACAGGTCCTCTTTAACCTTTCAACTTGCATGCTCATGGCATCTGTACAAGGGCATGGAAGCTCTTTCCATATTTGTTGTATTTTTCCTGCAGGGAGGAGATTGTTCGAGTTCCATCACTTGGATTTTTGAGTTGCTGTGTTTTTCTGGGTCAGCTTTATTAGAATAGTTTAAACTTGCTGGACTTTCATTGGCTTCATATTACTTTGTTTCCAGCATTTCAGATCAGAGCGGAATTGCAATCAGACCAGCTGGAAATTTCTGTGCATTTGTTGCCTGGCTACAAGATATGAGCTGACGAAACTGGATGCCTGGGTTCAACCCGATGCTGCCCACCGTCCTCTGTCAGGGAGAACAAGTGACTGAATAGCTTCGGAAACCTCCATCTGTCACTCCTGTTACCTTCTGATAAGTTAGCTGAGTTTACAAGTTTATTTTAATGAAGAGAATGGGCAATGAGGGAATGGAGGACTGCTGAGGGGGCAGAAGAGGATGGGTGATGGAGTGAGAGAGAGGATTGGCAATGGGAAGGGGAGCATGGGCGATGAGGAGGTGAGGATAGGCGATGAGGAGGGGAGGATAGGCTGTGAGAAGGGGAGTATAGGCGATGAGGGGAGGATAGGCGATGAGGAGGGGAGTATAGGCGATGAGGAGGGGAGTATAGGCGATGAGGAGGTGAGGATAGGCGGTGAGAAGGGGAGGATAGGCGATGAGAAGGGGAGGATAGGCGATGAGGAGGGGAGTATAGGCGATGAGGAGGGGAGTATAGGCGATGAGGAGGTGAGGATAGGCGATGAGAAGGGGAGGATAGGCGATGAGAAGGGGAGGATAGGCGATGAGAAGGGGAGGATAGGCGATGAGAAGGGGAGGATAGGCGATGAGAAGGGGAGGATAGGCGATGAGAAGGGGAGGATAGGCGATGAGAAGGGGAGGATAGGCTGTGAGGAGAGGAGGATAGGCTGTGAGGTGAGGAGAGGAGGATAGGCGATGAGAAGGGGAGGATAGGCGATGAGAAGGGGAGGATAGGCTGTGAGGAGAGGAGGAGAGGCTGTGAGGTGAGAAGGGGAGGATAGGCGATGAGGAGGGGAGGATAGGCGATGAGGAGAGGAGTATAGGCGATGAGAAATGGAGGATAGGTGATGAGGGGGGGAGTATAGGGGGATGAGGAGAGGAGGGTAGGCAACTGGGGAGGAAAGAATGGGAAAGGGGAGGATGAAGGAGGAGAGGATGGGCAAGAGGAGCAAAGCATGGGTGTTGGGACAAGAAGATAAATGAAGGGAGAAAGGAGAAAAAGTGGATCATGTGAGAGCAGACTATAAGTGATGGGGAAGGGGAGGAGAGAATGAGTGATGGGGGAAGAGTGCATGGGAGATGAGAAAGGGCAGCGATGACTGGCAATGGAAAGGGGGCAGAGGCTGGCCCTAGCTTATGAGCGGGAAAACAGAGAGGGATTTATCAAAACTGAAGCAGTGAAATCTGGAGCAGCTGTGCATGGCAACCAATCAGCTTCTCTCTTCACTTTGTTCAGTTAAGATTGCATTGGGAGTGGGGCTTTTTCTATCATTATTCAGACCTGTCCAGCTCCTATATGCTGAGCAAAGGAGTAGCCACAGACACAGCGCCCATGTGTAGAATTATTTACATGTGCCCAACTGTTATAACCAAAATAGCAGGAGTTTTTATTTCAGAGAAATGGTTATCCTTCCCACAACTGCATTTGGTTTATTGAACAGATTTCCTCTTTGCTAAACAATCATCTCCCCATGACCGGAAATCTGGACTTACTTGTCTGGTGTCTTCAGGAAGAATCACTCCGTCATCCCAGAGTCTGGCTGAAGAGTAAAATGCTGAACTTTCCTCCTTTAGTCTAAGAAACACAGAGAAACATTATCGTCACATACCCATGAACCATTTCTACTATTGGAAAAGCCTAATTCCTGCACTTTAGATAATCATGATTAAATAAATTGCTTTTAGACTCTAAGATCATTGATGGGGCCCTCTTGTGTCCTCCCGAGACCCCTAGTGTCTAAACAGGGGCGTCCCGAGGCTGGGTGACACCCGGAGCGGTAACCGAGTGTCACCCCGCCAAGACGTCACTGCGCATGCTCGGCAGTTTCTGATACCTGCCGGCGGCCATCTTGGTGATGGACACCGGCTGTTGGAGTGTACAACAAGAGAGAGGAGGGGACAGTCACCCGGCAGGATAAGGTATGCCGCTGGGTCCCCTCCTCTCTCCTGATACTGTCGGGCGTTCGGTCCATGACCGAGCGCCCGACTTTTCAGAGGGGGGTGACACCAAAATGACTGTGAGTCGTTTTGGTGTCACCCCTCCAATGGTGTCACCCGGGTGCGGGCCGCACCCCCCTTGTGACGCCACTGTGTCTAAACCAGGCGCTTTCTAAAGTCCATAGTGTGTAGAAGAGCAGCCTAGCCAGAGCGACCAAGCGGCCACACTCTCACATATTAATTTCCACTTTGCACTGTATCATCGAATTAATGGCGGATCCAGCACCTTCTACCTACGACTCTTAGATGAAGAGTTCAACATTTTCCAGATCTTACATACCTGGACAATAAAGCAGTGAACTCTTCCCCATCTTCTGAGCCGTCTCCCTTCTGTATGCTAGGTGGAGCACTGTCAGCGTCTACAAGACCAATTCTTGCATTTGGCCAAAGGAAGAAAAAGTTTGGCTCAAATGATCTCCCGCACTAGAGATAAAAAAACAAAACACAGATAACAAATACAAATATAGACAAATATAACAGTGTAAGGCCAGCTTTACCCTCTCGCTGTATGATGGAAAGTGATAATAAATCAAGATTTTACGGCAGGCAGTAAAACAAGAAGGAGGAGAAATCCTCCAATGGGGACACTTGTTTCGCATGATAACTGTCTAATGCTGGAATACACTGAATGAAAAAAATCTAAGATTCCCCATCCATGCTAAACTGCATGGGTGGTGGAATCCCTCCCCCACCAGGCTATTGTATTCTGACAGCGGCAGGAGCGTTGCTGGCAGAATACCCCAACAGTCACTTAAAAGGAGAACTATGAGGTGAGTGAAAACCACTCATCCTCATAGTTCGAACCGACGTGTGACAATTAAACTGTCACAGGTCTGCTCAATAGATCGTGAAGTGAGCGAACACATACCGGCGCTCGATCACTTCTCGATCCTGTGCCTGCAGAGAGCCGTGACTGTCACTCACGGCTCCCTGCAGGGATTCCCCCCCTCTCCTGTCCAATCCTCCAGCGCTGACTGGCGGAACGGACGGGGGAGGGGGCGAGTACAGATGGCTCTGCCTCTAGATAGGCTGAGCCAGCTGTCAATCACGCAGCTGGCTGGATCTCGCCAGTAATGTCGGGATCCGTCCCGGCTGCGGCGGTCTCAGTATACCGCGAACTGTAGCTCGCGGTATACTGAGCTTTGGGTCACAGGAGGACGCTAGTTTGTGTCCTCCTGTGACCCTCAAGGGAACTATGGAGAAAAACACTTACCCCATAGTTCTCCTTTAAGCTGATTGATTGCGGTCACAGTATTGCTGAGAATTTTCAGACTGGCTTCTTCAACAATAGCTGACTTTAAAAATGTTTTACTTTTGATGAACGGGGGGAATTCTGGGACACACACACTGATCACATTTCAGCTGAGTCAACACAAAATGTGAGCAGTGTATGGCCAGCTTAACAGGTGAAATCCCATTACTTTGGAGACAATTCCTCTAACTTCCTGCTGTACCTGTGTGACAGGAAGGGAAATTTCCCCAACAGGGCACAGAAATACCTTCTATATACAAAACTTTGTAAAACGCTGCGCAATGACTTACACAACAGGCACCCAGTTATAATGACATCTGCAGTCCTGGATCTATTCTCCTGTCTCCATGGGGACAGGGAATACTTACATCTACTGTATGGGAGATATCACGAGGAGTTGAGGGTTTCTGCTGCCAAACGTTAAGAATCAAGGAACCAAAGTGCTTTACCTGAGCTGCCACCAATATACAGGACAAATATAAACACTGGCAAGGGTCCTGAGGTACAGTAAATGATATCACAAGATGTTACATATTGTTCAGATGCTGCAGTGCCGTCCGTCCGTTTTTTTACTACGGGCGGACGGCAAGAGGTTAAGTGGTCAGTGTTGCAGCACTGTGGTCCTCTGCTCGACTCCTACCAAAGACCCCACCCCATGGAGTTTACATATTCCCCTCCATGTCTGTGTGCATTTGGGGCAACTGGAACTCTTTTTGAAGTTTCCTTGCAACAGTTTTTATACATCATCCTCTGCACTGATGAGGTGGCTTCCAGTTTTCTCTTGTGCACTGTCCCATAGAGGAGAGGTCCATATCTCATTATTTAGTGCACCTTTCTCTGTGCATTTAGAAATCCACGAGGCTACGTACCATTGCAAAGCTTTCTCCTCCGTGGCATCCACCAACGACCACTGTGATCTTCGGCACCGAGGCACAAGCTACAGAAGTCATCATAGAGGCCTGAGCCTTTAGCCTGTTTGTCAAATCTTCTGCCTGGACAACAAAACAAAGGTTATACTTTTGTTCAAGAATGGTACATTACATGGCCAAACGTTCATCACATCATCACATAGAGCTTCCTGGACCTCTCATTCCAAAAACATTGGCTTTGTTGCCCACGTTTTCTGGCTATAACAACCTCCAATCTTCTTGAAAGGCTTTCCACAAGATTTTGAAGTGTGTCTGTGGGAATTTTTAACCATTCAGCCAAAAGAGCTTTTGTGGGATCACATACTGATGTTGGATAAGAAGACCTGACCCGCAATCCGAATTCCGATTCATCCCAAAGGTGTCCAGTAGGGTTAAGGTCAGGGCTCTGTGCAGGACACTCGAGTTCCTCCAGACCAAACCCACCAAGCCATGTCTTTATGGAGCTGGCTTTGTCCACGAGGTCACTGAAAAGGGCCTTCACCAGACTATTGCCATAAGGTTGGAAGCACACAAATGTCTTTGTATGCTGTAGTGTTAAAAGTACCCTCTACTATAAACACCTGAATTCAACTATTTGGAGGGGTGTCCACATACCTGCAGACATATAGTAGGCGTGATGATCAGGAGTTTGGCTATACGGTGTATTATTCTCTGAAACAGATTGTGACAGTTGCAGTGTTAGGATAAACATTTAGGAATACTTTCATGACAAAAGGGCAGTGGGACCCAGTCAAGATTGCGAGCCTACACAGTGGCTTTGCAACATCTTCCCACCAAATGTGCAAGGGGTTTGTATGATTTCACTGGCTTCCATGAGTAACCTTCATCCACCTGGAGCAAGAAAAGAAAGGCCAGTGAAAGCCTTCAGCTGCTCTAGTCAGATCTTATACAGAGCTGAGGATTTGATCCCGTTGTGACAGCTCTGGTGCTTGTTGACTGCCCCCTTGCTGTCACATGCTGGGAGAGAAATGGCAGTGTGGTTTCCACATGTACAGGTGAAACTCGAATAATTAGAATATCGTGCAAAAGTAATTGCAGTAAGTGCTGCAAAAGGGGCCCAAACCAAGTACTGAGTACATATGCATGCTTGTACTTTTCAGAGGTCCGATATTGTTCTATGTACAATCCTTGTTTTATTGATTGCATGTAATAATCTACTTTTTTGAGGTTGTGGATTTGGGGTTCTTGGGGTTTTCATGAGCTGTAAGCCATAATCATCACAATTATGACAAATCGCGGCTTGAATTATCTTGCTTTGCATGTAATGAGTCTATCTCATATATTAGTTTCACCTTTTAAGTTGCATTGGTGAAATAAATGAACTTTGCACAATATTCTAATCATTCGAGTTTCACCTGTATATTGAATGAATGCAACTAAAACTTCTGTTGTAGTTGGAAAAGATTAGTGATTTCTATTTTTTGCTGGCTAGTTTAAAAGTGTGCTGGGCCCCCCTTTTTTACTGTTTTATATATTGCCTTGCCCATTTTGCTACTTTCAAACAGATCAGAACAGCCGCCATATTTGATTTGTTTTAGGAAGGGAGTAAGTAACATGCACCTCCATACCTGGAAGTACTGGGATTTTTAGATATTTTCAGTGGTTGAAATGAGTGGTGTATGAGCAAAGTTTGGTTGAATATGTGCTGCTGGAGAGGGGGGCATTAAAACCAAGCTGATGGCCTCACCCCTGGATCACAGGTACCTTTGACAGACTCGGCGGAAGGGGTTCCTGAGAAGTTGTATTTTGAAGAAACAGCAGAGGGATGTTACGCTGGTTACAAATCTGCACAAAGTGGCTTCCTTTCAGTGCAGCATCATGAGTAAGCACACCATTGCTAGCCACGATTCCAACCAAATTCCTAAAAAACAAAATCAACATCAAAGCTGACACCGTGACAAACACCAAGCTAAGGAAAATCTTCAGGCAATAAAAAAACAAAACACACATATATCACTTATGTGTTCTTCAAAATGCAATGCAGTGAGCTTCCGACCTAAAGTTATTGGCGTTTTATCAGAAAACTGTAGTGGTGGAATAAGGCACAATCAGTGGAGGAGCAATTTACTGATTAGACCACTACATTCATGATGAGACCGAAAACAAAAAACTGTGCATACCCACCGTTCAATGGAAGCAAATCCGGTCACCAGTGTTGTGCCATACTCGGTTTTGAACTCCAGAAATTTACTGCCGTCTACAAGGCGACTCAGGATCTGCAAAGAGTTTTATTGAGTACAA